GTGGGCGTTTGTTTGTGTGTGTGTGTGTGTGTGTGTGGGCGTTTGTTTGTGTGTGTGTGTGTGGGCGTTTGTTTGTGTGTGTGTGTGGGCGTTTGTTTGTGTGTGTGTGTGTGTGGGCGTTTGTTTGTGTGTGTGTGTGGGCGTTTGTGTGTGTGTGTGTGTGTGGGTGGGTGTTTGTTTGTTTGTGTGTGTAGACGTTTGTTTGTTGGAGATATGCATTAAGACACCTGGTGTTTTATAAGTTCCATAGTTGTTTGTTTTTTTTTTCTTCATTGATAAGTTAATGATAATGAAAACTCCTGAGTATATTAGGGCCTACGTTCTAATTCTCTGAGGATAATAATTTTTTTTATAACAGTTTCAAAGTTCAAAGAATCTACAATGTGCATGGTCTTTCGTAATTGATGCAAATCTTTTTTAATTTTTTTTTTTGTTTGTATTTATTGAAATTAAACTATATTGTATTTTTAAGTAGGTCTTGAAATGAGCTCACCTAAGTGCTAATAAGCCTACCTACTTGTCGAGTTTCATTTTACACAAATTACTCCCGGGTGTTTCAGAGGTTCAAAAATACTTCACTCTGTTGCAAAGTAGTAGTTTGTTAGAGGGAGCAGAGAAAGGATTTCTGCTTTCTGAAATATTTTGATAGTTGCTTAGAACAAGCTGGAAAACTGTTGTATTTGCTCTTTTTTTTGCTTACAATTTTTTTTTTCGTTTGAGACTTGTTCAAGTCTTGGAGAATATTTTTTAGCAAGTTAATCAATGACTACTACTATTAAATCATAATCGTTTTATTTTAGTCTGAAAGAATTCATGACAATTCCTGTTTTTATAGGCACAAAACTGGCTTAAAAGAACTAGAAGTATTGAGGCGGTTGAATGATGCTGATCCGGATGACAGGTTTCACTGTTTGAGACTTTTTAGACATTTCTTCCATAAAAATCATTTATGCATGGTGTTTGAACCGCTGAGCATGAATCTCCGTGAAGTAAGTTAAATATTTTGTATTACTGAAAATTATGCTTTTTTTTGTGACACTTTTATTAACAGATGCTGACATTAATTTAATAGGTACTTAAAAAATATGGTAAAGATGTTGGACTGCATGTAAAAGCAGTACGTTCGTATAGTCAGCAATTATTTTTAGCTTTGAAACTATTGAAAAAAGCTAATATTCTTCATGCAGACATAAAGCCTGATAATATTTTGGTAAGTTTGAAAACATTCAATTTAACAAGTTACTCATTCTTCATCACTCATGTTGTGTCTCTTGCCATTATTTCCTTTACAGCAGTTATTAATTATGATTTCTTTGATTAAATTATTGAAGATAATTTTAACATTCTGAAAAATCTCCAGGTAAGCAGGGATGTGTTGTAAGGGAGCGCGTTTCAGGGTAAAAATTTACTGTGCCCTCTTGTTAGTTCATGTTCTATAGATCCTGGAGGGAGCTTTTGTAAAAATGAGTCGACATTTCCGTGTTTCTTCATTCATCATGCGGAATGGGATGCTGTAGAAGGTGTGGTGAAAGGAATTTACCCACTCAGGAAGTGCCCTTACACATGTAAGACATGGTATTTTCTGAGCACCCTATCCCAAGGCTTGTATTCAAATAGGAAGAGTTAAATTTAGGTTGCAAACAGCAGGATTGTTTTGTGTCCATCAAAAAAGTTTATCTTTTGTTGGGGAGTTCATACCGAGAAACCCTTCTACGTTTTAATTTTGAGTTTTTAGATAGGAGTGTGTTTAGAATGCACATTTATGAAGTAGTTATATTACCTGATTATTATTTGAACTGGCAACTTCATTTCTGATGTTTCAAAAGAATATTGTCAGATGCAATTGCCAGTCTTACAAGAAAATAAATCACTCTTTGACACGCACTTTATGTATCAGAAATTTGTTATTGCTCCAAATTTGTGTACCATCAACAATTCATCATATTGGAAGAACATTTTGTTTTAATCTGCTCATTGTGTTGTAAAAAGTATTATTCTTTCCATTTCTTTGTTAACTTGTAGGTAAGTGAGAGCAAATTAGTTTTGAAGCTGTGTGATTTTGGATCAGCCTCTCATGTTGCTGAAAATGAAATTACTCCTTATCTTGTCAGTCGTTTCTACCGTGCTCCAGAAATAAGTAAGTGTTTTTAAATTCTATTGGTTCCTACTTTATGTGCAAGTTATACGTACCAAATTGTAAACTAAAAATGTATTACAGTTTTAGGCATTCCGTATGATTTTGGTATTGATATGTGGTCAGCAGGTTGTACAATATATGAATTGTACACTGGCAAGATCATGTTCTCAGGGAAAACCAACAATCAGGTAAGTTTTATGCATAGTGTAGGTGTATATAATTTATATATATTTCTTTTCTTTTTATTATGGTAATTATAATTACAGATGTTGAAGTTTTTTATGGACCTTAAAGGCAAAATGCCTAATAAATTAATTCGAAAGGGACAATTCAAGGAGCAGCACTTCGATACTAACTGTAATTTCCTATATCATGAAGTGGACAAAGTGACCGAGAGGGTATGTATTTGTATTTTAATGTAACTTGAGTTGTGGTGGTGGTCCTTTTGTTTTGCCCAGTGTCGATTTTGTATCACACTTCTTAGAATTAATTAGTTAGCATTTAAAATAAGATAAGTTGATACTGCCGTATCAATCAATACTGAAGTATCTGAATCGAACATTTGACTATTACATTTTTTTGACAGTGCAATTTTGTTTTTCAAAGTAACATGGACATGTCTTAGGTTTCATCAGCTTTCAAAGGACTCATTATTGTAGGTTTGCATTAGAACTCCATTACAGTGTTGGCTGCTGAATCTCTGCGATGATTCTTGGTACATTTGTCAAATCAGAGCATGAGACAGATCAGACTTTTTAGGTGGGATTATAAGATCTACAATGTATACTACATGATTGTTAAACAAAGACAAAATATTTTTTATCGGAAGTATAGGTATCTATAGAAAACATAATTATCAATTCTTAATGTATTCTACAATAAACATAAATTTTAAACTCGTATATATTATTCTTTGGGATTCGAAACTGTAATCTTTTGCTAATCTGAGGCTCTATTATATTCATGTTACCTGCTGATGATTTTTAAATATTTCAGTGTAGAATGAATGAAATCTTTGTATTTTTTAGTTCTTTGGGGTGTTGAGGTTTTGTCAAAAAAGTATAAACAAATCAAATTTTAGAAAATTGTATTTTTCTGGAGGGGGGAAATCAAAATCAATCTGTTAGTTAGCTACAGTTGTAATATTTTTTGTGACTTTAACTATCAATATAATGTCATCTTAAAAAAAGTTGATTACCCTATCTCTCGCTCACTCTCCCTATCTCTCGCTCACTCTCCCTATCTCTCGCTCACTCTCCCTATCTCTCGCTCACTCTCCCAATGCACACCATGTAATTGCAAGTGTGCACACACATATTTTAAGTTGTTTACCCAGTAGGTATTGTAAACCTTTGTATTAAAAGCTTAAATGATTATTAAACGAGACATTATGCAGAATTTGATAACCAATTTAGTATTGTAACAAATGTTAAAATAGAAATATCATTAAATATTTTATTTTTGTAAAAAATTTAAATACATTACACTTCACTATTCATCCTTAGAAATGTGACCAACTGAATTTTTAGTTGTTAATAAGAGGTCGTGGATTATTAAAACCCCCTTTGATGTAATAATTGATTACAAAACTGATGGTTGTAGATAACAAGGGTGCTATTAAATATTAGAACTCTTTGTGATGTAACAAAATGTTGTGAAACTGATCTTAATTTAATCAAGGTTCACAGTAAATATTTGAAGTCAGTAAAATGGTTACCCAAAATAGCAAATTTATACCTAAAATAATGGCTTAAGTGGTTCAACTTCATCAAATTGCAGCTGTAAGGTCAACAAAATAATAAATTAAGTGTGTGCGGGAGGGGAAGTTTTCAACTCTTTGGATTTGCCTTTGCAATTTAGATTATGCAGTGACATTTGAATTTCTTTTCTCTTTTAGGAGAAAGTGGTGGTTATGTCAACATTGAACCCTTCACGAGATTTACTGGCAGAGTTAATAGGCAATCAAAATCTTCCAGAAGATCAGATGAGGAAAGTCAACCAACTGAAGGATTTACTAGAGAAAATCCTCATGTTAGATTCATCAAAGCGAGCTGCTATCAACCAAGCTCTTACACACCCCTTTATTCAAGAGAAAATTTGAACTAATTATGCAAAAAGTGAAATGTGTTGCAAGGTACGTGACAATTTTGTGCATATGGGATAGTTTGTGCTGAAATGTTTATATCCATCTGGTACATTTCAGTATCTTTCTTTATTATTTTGGAAAGGAAGATCTTTAGTAATGTACTATATTTATCAGGCTGCATATAAGGACACTGGGACAGAAACATTGCTTGTGTCAATTTGAGATTGCATTTCTGTTGCTTTGCATTTATCGGTGTAAAGAATATACACTTGTGTAATTGCATAAAATAAAGATTTGAAGCAGTTGATTGAAATGATTTAATCATCTTTGTAAATAATAGTTTAAGAAACCAGGTGCCAAATTCATAGTGAACACTTCAACTGTACTTCTTGAATGACTAATTCTTATTCAGAAACAAACCTTATTATCAAATTAATGGGCAATGAGTAACTATCACTCAATCTTGAGGAAGCACCTGTTTCCATGTCTCATTCAAACTCCTCTTTTCTGGTTTAGATTATGGTGTTTCATGGCACTCACTTGGACTATGGAAAATGTTAAAAAAGAATTGTGCAGAATAGTTTGAGTTCAATATGGAATGCATTATTTGTACTACAAAAAAAAAACACAGAATAATGGGTAATCCGTTGGAAGGATACAATTACACTAGATTTCAAAAGCATACAAGTAAAATTCAAAGTTCTTTGTATGAAAAAATATTGAGTGTGTACACTCTGTGGCCTCTCGACCATCACCTTTGCCACATCACTATGACAAGCACTTACGAAATGACCTCTTTAAGCAGCCTTATTGCCGAAGGATTCCTTTATTCTACAAGGAACTATGTGGACTATGAATTTGGCTGTAGTTCTCTTGTATAGTAAAGAGCTATAGCTTTTCGTCACCAGTTGCTTTATTAGAAAACTAAAGAGTATCATATATTTATTTGCACTGTTAAGCATTTATAGATAGGATATGCAATTGGAAACATTCGTAGATTACTTCTTAATTTCAAAATATTTGGCAAAATATTTAACCCTTTGGAATAAAGATGTTTCAAATCTAAAGTTGTGGAATCAAAAAAGGTTTGCAATGAGGTTGGCATGTTAGTCACAGATTTAGTTCCTCCTTTTGTATGTAGTCTTGGGAAAATTTAATATTTTATTCTCAATTTTATTTCGCATTTCAAATATTTGGTTTAATGTTTCTTATGAATGAAATAAAATTACTTTCTTTTTTCTATATTGAATGTTGATATTGTTTTATGTCAATTCGGATGTCCTTTGTATTAGTTTTCCTGCTTACACTCCTGAACCGCGTACTCTTGAAAAGCTTCTCAATTGTGATTATTTTGTTCATATTACTGGAAAATGCCTATATAGATAGATTTAATTAACTTGCAAAGTATAAAGAAATAAACTCCTACATTTGTAGAGTATTTTTCTATGAAAGTTTTTTTTGTTGAAGTTAAATTTTATTGTTAAAGAAGGTTATTTTACTTGTATTACAAGTGATATCTTCACCAATCAGCAGATTCATACAAGAGCAGTGATAAATGTAATTGTGAACTAATATTACAAATGATGATACTAGATAACTGAGAAAAAAATGCTGAAATTGAAAGTCAAATTATTGTAAATGGAATTTTTATTTTCTTTAAATTTCTGGAGAATTGATTTAACTTGCAGGCATATAGTAAATTTACTTAAAGTATTCTGCAGGAACAGTGGCATGTAAAGTAAAGGGCACATTTGTCAGGAAAACATTCACTCATCTGCATTGGAAAATAGAAAACATACAAACACCAAATTTACAAAACAGACAAAATGTCTTGTTTGGATGCTAAGTGGTGAAGCTTTATAGCAATAAATGGTGAATAATGGAATGTAATAACCCAAGAATACTGATAATAAAGGGGAAATGTTTATTGTTTGTTACAGGAAAGGGGTGTGTTGTTGGCTGAATCCTCTTCAAAATTGGCTGTGTTTTTGTAAGGAATTAAACTCTTCTGCAGGACCTATTGGAAATTAATTTTTTGAAGTATATGAAGATGAACGTGTTGTGAACATGAATGGACGTCATTGAAGTTGTTTGGCTGCTTGGTTTGCCAGAAATTTGGAGGATCCACAGAGAACAAGAGTGGGGTGAATGATTGTTCTTAGAGGTAACTGCCTCGGAGAGAAAGAATTTATGGAAATTGAAGTGCCGCCAATAGGTGGCGTTATTTTATATTGAAGTTTATGTAAACAGCAAAGCTGCTATAGGGTTGTAACTTGGAACACTTAATTCACAAAATTGAATATTGACAGACATAATGTCAAACTTTGTAAAATCAGTTGCATTTATGGAGTGAAAAATAAAATATGGGATGCCATTCTGAAAAGGCTCTTAATATATATACATATATAAATGATGTATTTAGTATGTTTTTAGTTTGAATAGATCCATATAAATATTGCATTGTGATAAACTTATGGTTAAGCACTTCATTGAGCCAAGGATGTACATACAGAATCAGAACTGTCAGCATTAGCTTGTCGTTATTTGCTATCTGAATTTGTTTCATGGAATTTGTAGCATTTCTTTGAAGGACCTTGGTGCTGCAGATGGATATATTTGTTTCAAATGTTAATAATGAATCATGACAAGTGTTGTATATCAGTTGTTAGTGTTAATTATGTATATTGTGTAGTATAAAATGAAAAAATCTTGAGGAATTACTTGATTGGAGGAGTGCTCGTGAAAGCGGAACCACATAATACCTGGTGTATGTATTTGTCAAATAAGCCTTTATTACACATTAATTGTTACACGCACAGACAGCTGGGCGTTGTTTCACTACATCCCATGTAATAGTGGATGATAAAAAATAACAGGCATGATACTAAGGTTATCTTGAATCTGCCTCATAATTGAGAATTCATCAAATTCTATTTAATTAGCACTATGACAGATGAAGTGTAAGTGAAAAGTACAATGTACTGTCTTGTATTCAAACAAACCCAGAACAACAGTCTGTTGACTATTAGGTCCTGTTTTGTGTCTGAAATATTCATTCATAAATGAAATTTTTAGTTGCTCTGTTGTAGATTATCTGTTTTTATTTATTTAAGTTAAGCTCTGGATTGCATGCATGTGATTTTTACATTTTCTAAAACCATGCAAGTTTGTTTTCAAATGTTATGAGTGATACTTGTGTACAAAGAGATATTGGAATTATACACCATAAAGTTCTCAACTTGAGTGATTCATTCTAATGCATCTTAATGTTCTGCATTCTGAGAGGTCAGATGATCTTATCTACATTGAAATGATACCTTAAATGCTTCACACAAATCAGTTTCTTTTGTTTTAGCCTCCTTTTTTCTTCCCCTTCCACTTTCCGGGCTCAGTATACATATACATTTTTCGTTCATCTTGTAGCGGTCATTTAAGGCAGCAGTTAGTTTTCGTTTACAAATGTGAAAGTAATATTTCTAGTACAATTAATAATTGCAAGTTGTACTACAAATATTACTGTGATCTATAAATTATTCACTTTGCTGTGTTGTAAGTGATGTGGGATACTCCATCACATAAATGTACAAATTTGAGGTTCTGATCCTTTTTGTAAATTGACATATTTCTCCTTGTATTTTTAAAAATGCAAATAATTCATGTAATGATGAATTGTGTTTCCTCATACAGCTTCTTCATAATGTCTTGGGCGCCCGGCCAGCTCTCCTGTTCCCAGACAATGGACAAGACATCATAGCAGCCCAGACATGTTGAAGGAGCTGTAAGCAATAACACTTTTTTAGGATCTTACTCATTACTGCAGTATATTGTGTTTTGAATTTATATTTACATAAGACACTAGTGGTTCGATGTTTGATTTGACTTCAGTTAGCCCACCCCAACTAGCTTCACCAAACTTATACTAAAGTAGCTGCTGCATGTTGCTCAGTCACCTTATATCTATAATGAACTTTACTACTTTTATTATTTCATGCAATCATACCGAAGGCCTTACTGTTCAACTAATTGATACTTAAAAGTATTGTTACAAAACATTTTCAGCGTAAAGGATTGTATCTCTTTGGGATTCTACTGAAGTTTGTTTGGTTGCATGCATTAGTTCTTTATTGCAATTCATGTTTAACTACATAACAATTGCCCTATTTGCTTGGGTGGTAGTGGTATATGGGGTTGTGTAATTTGGATATAGCTGTAAGTGCTATTATCCTATATCTATACCTACAGGTCTCGTTGCTGTTATTACATGCTCTGTATGGAGTTGAGTTCAGCTTCAATACCTCGTGTGTTTTGTACAGAGCATGTGATAATTGAAATACACTTCCTTAGGGAAGGAGGGGATGTGACAGGCAGTATGTTTCTTCATTGTGAGCATGAGACTGTTATTCTGGCTATTCTTGTTCCAGACAGTGTGATGGAGCTCCATATGTCTTCAGTTGCTGTGGTGCTACCATCAGTTGTAGCTGTTGAAAGGTATTTCTGATTGCAGCAGCCAAAATGTTAACCACTGTATTGTATTATTATTAGTCTTGAATAATTTTTGGAAAAAATAGCTTCCTTACAATGTGCATGCAATGAAAAGGTGTTTTTACATTGTGGATAGGTGCTTCTTTCAGGCATAAAAGAAAGAAAAATTCAGCAAAATATTTTCTCTCCTTTTTTTTCCCTCCTGTGTTTGTTTACTTTTTTAAAATTTATTTTTATTTATTATAGTTCGATATCTGAGAACTACAAAAATCTGAATATTTCACATGGGGGTTTACAGTGGAACCTGTTCATAGAATTTGTTAGCATTGCAATCCATTAAAATCATTCTTTAGATTTTGCAACAGTGTACTCTTTGAGGTGTGTCCAGAATTAGCCCTACTACTGTGATCTTAAGTAGTTTTGGGAAGAAAGTACATTAGTGTAAATGAGTGCCGTAATTTGCAGGAAGAGTTTACTTGAATGTTGGAACCTTTTAATATTCTGTGGGGATGATTTTAAATTGGCAAAGTTTTTCAAATGTTTTAAAATTCATAATGAAGTGTAAATTTCAAGTTCAATATTACTCTTAGTGTGAATTCGTATGTTGCCTGTAAATTGTGAAAATACTTTATATTAATAGTGCAAATAGTTACAAGCTGTTCAACTCTTTCTGTATACAGAGCATTCAAAAAGTTTATCTGAAGTGCTTGTTATGGTTGTCCCCACTGCTCCTCTTTATGGTGTAAATGACAACATTGAATGGCATTCTGTCAAATTCTTTGAATTTTGATATTCTCACAAGTGTGCTACAAGCAATTAGTTAAATTAAAAATGTGATTGTGATTAATTGCAGAGTGACATGTTTAGTTTGGCTATGTATCAGTAGTTTGTAGAAAGTCAAATTGTAACTGTTGAATGCTGACAAAGGAAGAATGTGTGTTTTTGGTGGAACATGTTTTGAGCAAATAAGTACATGGGTGATGTAAATGAAATGTTTGTGGGAAAATTCCAAGAATCTGAAATTCCTCATCAGGATATAGAGTACTATTTAATTGAGAAGTTTCGACAAAAAGGTTCTGTAGCAAATGTGTTGACATGTGTTACAACCTTGTTAACCTGAAATCTTATAAAACGTTACCAAGCCACACGAACCAATGAGGTGGTTAAATGGCTGTCCAATTAGGCAATGCACTCACTATTGAAGCAAAAGAACCGAGTCTGTTTCCCTTTTCAAAATAATGGGAGTGCAAGATTTATAGGTCATGGATAAAAATAAAAGCTTTCCAGGCAAAGAGAGCATATAAACTTTCTAGGAAAATAGTTAAAACTCTCACATCTTAAATTGTATTTAGTGTAACAGATAACCACCATGACTATCATTGAAACATTCCACTTTTCTATTAGGCTGAGACACTCAAGGACAGAAGTCTCTATGCTCAAGTCAGTGAAGTGAGGAAAGTGGTAAGGTGCAGAAAATGAAGGGAGAGGGAAGGGGATTAACTGTTAGAAGAGTTCAGCCAATGAGAAAATTAGAGACAGAATGGATGTCATTGTTTATCTTTACCAACATTATCTCTTTAAATTTGTAAGTAAGTTGTCATTTATTTTTGTAAATAAAGTTGATTCTACTATGCTAATCATTGTTACGCAGTTTAATTTGTAATTGCTCTGAAACAAGTAAAGAGCACATTTTCTGATCCGACTACAACTTGGATGTTCTCAAAATATAATTTTGAGGGGTAAATCAAGTCTATGGCAAAAAAGTAAATTTTGCATTGGCGTTGGCAATTTTATGTTACTAACGTCTAATCATTGCAGTTGAGTTAATGAATTACATTTTCATTTTCTTCATATTCTAAGTTATTTTTGTATTCGTTATTGGATTGACTGTATTGAGTATAGTGTTTCTAACATTTATGTTGTGATTAGATTAATGTGATATTTTCTTAAAACTGTTTATTATTTTAAGAACAAATAACCAAACTATGTTCATAGGAAGTTCTGGGTCTTCATTGTTGCTATTTTCTATATTTTCTGTGGATTAATTTAATTGTTTCTTTTCATGGAATCTTGTCTAGTTTGGATATGTTTGTTAATGTTTTCCAAAGTGATATGAATAGATTCTTTAACCATAAGAAATAAATTGTCGGTTTAGGAGGACACAAAATTGATTAATAAACTAGAAGAAGAAAAATGTCCAAAATACTCGAGACATTTATCGTTTAAGAGATATTTTCATCAAAAGTATTAATTACCTAAAACAAGTGACTTCTATTCAAATTTGTCCTAATATGAGAGTATTGCAATGCAAGTATCAGAAGAAATTCTAGTATGCAGTATACATGTGAAATTCACAAAGACCATTTTTTTTTGTTTTTGAATCACCAAGTCCTTATTTTCTATTTTTCTGGTTAATGAAATCTTGGCAGTCCTGAATTTTGGGTGTACTAAATTCTCAATTATTTCCTTCTTAACTAATTCACTGTTCAGAGATGATGTTCAGTCAACTTGTGAAAAAGCTAAATATTGAAATTAGTAGAGAGAAAAATTAGTAAAACTTGTTAAAAAAACTTCTTAACACTTCAACAAAAATTTTATAAAACTTTGACATAATTAAAATCACAAAAGTATAAGATTATATGGACAAATACAAATTGCTTGTAAAGTAACAAAAGAATAATTTCTTTTGTTTTTATGGTCATGGTATGAGGGAAAATTTTGGCTAGTATGCTATCCAAATTTTTTCATTGTTGCATCTCATTGTTTCATGGCTTTTTGAAAAATAGGAAGCTTTCAAATTTCATTTTTATGGAATTTTTTAGCATGTTTTGAGAGTTTGAATCTGATTTATTATTCAGGAACAATGTTGCTTTGGTGATAAATGGCATGTTCGACTTGAAAATGTTAAAATGATTTATTTACAAAATTTTGTGTAGAAGAAAATTACAAGCTTACATTTGAAGTTTCTGCATGGATATAAGAACTCTCAGTTCTTAAATGTCATGACTGGTTCCACTGATCTCTTTTTCTTCTTAATTGAAGTTTTTATTTTTACAGAAATATTTATGTGGCATGTGATTTTGAAATAAAGATATTTGAGGCACTTTGCATGCCTGTGGAGCACCTATTGAATTATGGCTAACTGCCTGTTATTGATATGTTCTACACCAGTTGAATTTATTTATGACCCAGTTAAGAAAATACTCTTACTTTTAGAGATACTTGAAAGTTGATTTCTTTACAAATTCATATGATATTAATGTTCTTGATTTCAAGAATTTCTCCAGAAATATTGAAAAATCAATCACATGATTTTTGTTAATAATGGGCAGATAAGCCTTTCCGGTGTATGTTGTATGTGGTACATGTGGTTACTTGCCTATCTGTGATGGAAATATGCAAACTGTTTAAATGAAGTCTTGCAATGGTGACTTCACAATTCTTGTTCTGTGAAAGGTTGTGAAAACTACATTTGACATTTTCTCCTTAAAATTGTTTTTATTTCTATCACAGATATTTATGTTCATACTAGATTATATCTATTGTTCTTCCAGAAAAATTGCTGTTATGAAAATTTAATTTCCTTCCCAAAAGTACAGGCACTTTTGGAATTGTGCGTTTGGTAGTATTGCAACTACTGAAAGCACTCATCGGGAAGTAGGATTTTAATTAAAATATCTGGAATGGTGCCATGGTATCATGAAAATATGGAATGGTGCCACTTTAGTATTTTCTTTAAGGAGTTATTCCTGGTCTTAGATTGATTGTTTTGAGATTTATTATTCTAATGACATTATTAATTTTTGTTATTCTGGCACATGTGGAACAAAAGATTTCACATGTTATAGAAAAATTGCGGTTTGCCAAGATCAAAAACATTGAGTAAATGTGCTGATTTTATCCATTCTCATGATTTAAGTGCTATGTCACATTTACAACGATTCTTCCTCTTAACATATTTCCAATATTGTCAGTAAGCAAGTGAAACTCTTCTGAATCCATTTTTTGTTTCAGAGTTATTTGCATTGCAAACCTATTTTTTATTTATTTATTTATTTTTTTTATCCTTTTAATTAGTGAAATATTGGAATTCCTGGAGTTTGGCTGTAATAAATTCTTGGTTATTTCCTTCTTTAACTAAGTTGTGAAGATGACAAAAAGAAATTGATCTCCAATAATTTTATTTCTAATCTAGCGAACAATACTAGTAGACATATTTAACAGAATCTTCAACTTTTATTCATCTCCAAACACTGTAGACTTGGTAACTGACACTTGTAAACTGATGATATCAAATATTAGAAAGAAAAAAATATTTAGAGAAATGTGACTTGATGATATTATTTAGTGCATAAAATAAACTTTTTCTAATAAGCTAATGAAGGAAAATTTTTTAGAGGAAACTGTGCAACAAAAAATCATATTTAATACACTATTTTCTTTCACTGAAGCTCTACAAAGATGGTGTTTCCTTTTGACCACTTTTTTTTGTTTCAAAACAAGATTTTCATATCTTCACTTGAGATTGCTGTTCATTTACAAATAAGAAGTGCCTGAACTTGTTAATCATGTTAATCCATTATTTGGGAAGTGGTTATTGTATCTTATTGTGTGAAGGATGCTGTCTCCCTATAAGATTTTTTTGTAGAAAATTGTCTTGTACAACTGTTTACAATCTTATCTATCTGTAAGATTTAAATATCTTCGGTATTTATATCTTATGTTATCTCCTTCATTATTCTATCAGAAAGGAGTGTTAATGATGTTATATTAGCATTGATTCATTGTTCTCTTTTTTAGCTCTTCTCCTGAAATGGGTAAATCTCTTCATACTACCCGCATTGTGAGCTAGAATTTGATTACTGTGTATACAGGATGGTAATATTCAGGTAAGTGGGAAACACTTGTAAGCAGCTCTGTATTTTTAAATTTTTTTATGAATAATGTTTTTTTAGAAATTTTATTTATTAATTTATTTATTCAAAGAGATTAAAAATTAAACTATTTTAATTTTTTATCTGCACATGTTCTCATTATTATTTATCAATAATATTTCACTTTCAATTTTTTTATTTTCCTACTTTTTTGTTATGATCTTTTTTATTGTTTTCTGGTGTTTTGATTTGTCTAGCAATAGACGGAAAATGTTTAGACCAACAAGAATCTCTTTTTGGGGAATAGTGAGTTTGAGTGGTATATTTGAAAAGTTGTATTTGCAGGTAGCCTACAAGATGAAAATCCATCTATTACTTAAAGTAATTTAATAATCTTGTAATATCATTTATTTGACATGAGTATTTTCTGTTATAGATTTTCAGTGAAGTGATGCCTTTAATGTCAATATAACCAGTGAAAATTCATGGATATTTTCAGTTAATCAATAAAAGCTTTTGAAAAATTCTCTTGTTTCATTTCTTAATCCAAACAACTGTTACATTCTTATTTTTCAGTTCCCATTACAGCAAAATAACAATGTTTTGTAATGTAGTTAAAGTATATTTATATTTATTAATATAGTATTATAGTTGAAAGATAAGTGTATTGCAGTGATTATACACAGGTCCTTTTGAATCATAGTGATGCCTTAAAAGCTGATTTCACATTTGAGTAAGGCATATGGTAAAGTCCTCTCAACCTTAAATGTAGGCACTTATATTGTCTTTGAATTGTAGATTGCTAGATATGACATGTAGATGTTGAAGTAGGCCAATGGAAGAACTTACATTGAGGCCTCTGGAAACAAAACAAAACAAAACAAAAAAAAATAAAAAAATAAAATAAAATAAAAAAAAAATAAAAAAAATAGTATGTGCAGATTGTCAAGATCACTTAATGCAACTGTTATGTACTTTGATTAATCGTGATGTATTTTTAATTATGAAATACAGATGAATAGATCTCTCATGAAATGCTTTAAAAACTTAAATATTTTGTGCAGGATGCAAGAAGTGTTGGTATTCAAATGATACGAAAATTTATGGATTGAAACCAACACAGCCAGATCAATTACATTTGCCATTGAACATTTCTCTTATGCAGATATAATAATAAGAATATTACTGTGTAATTTCCTGCATATTTTTAATGTGGAGCTACCCTGCTTAACTTGGATGTTATGTGACATGCAGTGATGGCATAGTGGCTGCATCTGAAGTGTTCTGACAGGTAGGGCTTAGGCTTTGAGTCCTGATGGTAGCAGATTTTTAACACTAGTTACATAGCTAAGTTGAATTCAACCATTGGGTGATGAATTCTAATGGTCAGGGACCGATCTGTAGTTTTTAATAATTTCTCCAATCAATATCAGGTGAATGCTGAAGTAGAACCATAGCAAACGCGGTCACTCAGTGTGCAATCTTCCCTTCCTCCCATGTGCATGCATTTACATGCACTATACTACCACTCACATCGGGAGCTTGTCCTGGCTAATGTGGTGACCTGCAGGTGGGGATCCATTCCTGGAAGACGGCTTGGAGGGCAAAAACCCTGCAAGCCAATGTGGGTCAGCATTGGGTCTGTGGTTCTAGGTGGGAAGCAACACCAGCACATCCTGGGATATAACATGCACTACACATTCAGGATTAATGACCTTAGTAATTAAGTACACCCGGAAACAAACGGTCAACTAATTGGAAATTTTGTCACTTCTTGGGAGAAATGGGCCAACTCGGCTAACTTTTAAAACATGGTAATGATAATTGATTTGTACAATAGTAATAAAATAAAACGAGGATGAAATATTCCAGGTAGAATGAATTTGCACCACATCTGTTCAACTGAAATTCTTTTCAGGAGTGTGGAATGTCAAAAAGTTCCATTTTGTAAACCTTAGCAAGAAGTTGTTTCCTGGGATTTTTGTTCACTTCCTTTGGGAGCCTTGTTTACGTTCTTCTTTCTTTAGAAAGGATGTTACAGAAAACTGATAATCCACACTAAGCACAGATTGGGCCGGTTCATATTTGCATCTGAATTGGTCATAATTGAGGAGAATCACCTTGAGCAAATTTTTGTTAGAATTAAGGGATATAATCACAACATCATTGGGTGCGTATACATCCCTCCACAATCCCACCTTGATATTTATTGTGAACATTTGTCAAATGTCTCCATTATACAAGAAAAAAATCCAAACTGCAGATTGATTATAACTGGTTATTATAACAATTCACAGTAGTCTACCACAATTGGATTGTGAATCTTTCCTCTATGAATTTATTTTCCTCTATTGTTGGAATGTTCTCAGTTAAATGACATTTGTAGTAGCCAAGGTCGATTACTAGACCTTGGTTTCAGTGACTTGGATGCTCATGTTGATAAAATGCCTGCTTTTGTGAATGAGGATATATTTCATCCTGCATGGTCCATCTGGAGTTCAGAGCGAGTCTGAGACTGAATGATACTCCCACATATTTATTCAGGAATGCTGATTATGTATCACTGAATAACTACTTTCTAAGTGTAAATTGGATAGATCTAAATAAATTGGACAATATAGATGATAAAGTGAAATGGTTCAACGACTTGATCTACTGGGCCATAAATCAATTTGTTCCAATAAACTATGGAGGAAAAACAGATTTTCCAATTTGGTTTTCTAAGGAATTAATATGTTAACTATACAAAAGAAAATTGCTCATAAAAATTACAAAATGAGAAAAAGTCAGTATAATTATATTACTTTCCGCACACTTAGATCAAAATGTAAACAATTAAGCAAAACTGCTACAAAAATTACTTAGAAAAAACTGAAAATTACCTGAACTTTGATTCTAAAAATTTTGGGATTTCATGAAAAATAGACGTCGGAATAACAGAGATATTTCCTCTGAGATGACTTAGAAAGATGTAGCAAATAACGGAGTAGATATTGGAAATTTATTTGCAGCCTTTTTTAGAAGTGTGTATGAAAACCTACAAGATCTTCAACCAGAAGTGATGTTGGCAAAGAGTATTTAGATGCGGAGCTCTCCAGATTTTGAAGTCGCCTATGATAATGTTTTCCATTTGACACAACTTAACATCAACCAAAGCTGTTCAACAACTGTGCTGCAGGATTATGTGAACCCATTTTTGATCAATCACTTGAGTTGGGCTACTTTCCATCCACCTGGAAATTTTCTTATAACATACCAATATATAAAAGTGGAGACAAGTCTTAAAGTGAATAACTATAGGCCTATATGTATTCAACCATCACTTGCTAAACTTTTTGAAATTATCGTTCTCCCACAATTGACAACAGCTTTCAAAAATATCATTATTTCTAAACAACATGGTTTTATTGGAAGAAGATCAACATCTACAAATCTCTTGATATACATCAACCATATCTCAAATGCCTTAAACAATGGTCAAAATATGCCCTCTTTATACACTGATTTCAGTAAAGCTTTTTATAAAGTTGATCATGAAATATTGATGTCAAAATTGACCAGTTATGGTGTTCGACTAACAGTCTTTAAATGGCTTCGTTTGTATCTGACAGGTAAGAGATTACAAGTGAAAGTTAATGGTCATTTATCACATGAATATGATGTTTTGGCCGGTATACCACAGTACTCACATCGGACCAATATTATTCAAAATTTTTGTAAATGATATTGGTGAAGGGTTGCAATCAGAATTCTTATATGCTGACGATATGAAGCTCCACAGAACTATTGTGAGCGAGAGTGATGTGGTTATTCTACAACGAGACATCTCTGTACTCGTGAAATGGTGTATGGATAACAAGTTATTCTTGAACATTGGGAAATGTGCTGTGATTATCTTTTCTCATGCTTATGGTCAATACAATGTCAACTATTAGATAGATGGAAGAAATGTACAAATTGTTAATTTATTTAAAGATCTGGGCATAATTATTGATGAGAAACTTACTTTTACTGATCATGTGAACAACATTTCTAAAAAAGCATACAAAATCTTGGGATTCATACTCAGATCAAAAAAAGAATTTAGAATTATCAACACTGTCTTGTATATTCTCTGCATTAGTGGTACCGATACTGGAATACGGAAGCATAGTTTGGTCACCATACACTGTCCAACATATTTCACGAATTGAGAGAGTTCAATGAAAGTTTTGCAAATCCTTAGTTTATTACAAGATAAAAATGTGAGAAACACTGATGATGTTTATGACATACTTAAGATTGATAGCCTTCAAACTCGGAGACAAATGATAGACCTTATTTTTTTCTACAAGTATTTAATAGCTTAATCAACTCGCCTGAAATATTAGAGCAATTTATCTGCAGGTCTCTTCAGTACCACTGACAGGGAAAACCTAGGGTTTGAGTCCAAACGATGGAAGGATATTCAACACTAGCTAGATAGTTCAAATTCAGCCATTGTCTGGAGGAGAATTCTAGCAGCCAATTGCTGTGATTGGTAGTTTTCCTCTGATCAACACCAGGTGAATGCCAATGCAGAACCCTAACAAATGGGCCTTGGACCATGCACAATCTTTCATTCCTCTTCCTTGTCCTGTCCTCACACCCTTACATACATGTACACTTTCGTGCCCTACACTACCACACACCACGAGCTTAGAGCTTGTCCTGGCTAGGATGTGCCCTCCTGGTAGGAGATCTGTACCTGTTTGAGGAAAGCCTGCTAGCCGATGTGTAGGTTCAGCACCCAATATCATCCAGCAGGGGAAGATAACCACCACCTTTTGAGGAAATACATGCACTAAACTTACAGGACTAATTACCTTAGCAGTTGACACATTCGAAAACACAAAATAATCAACCGTTCTTGAAAATGACCACTTTGCAATGAAGAAGTGCCACTACTAAACAGAAAAATGGGCAGCATATTTTTGCTGATTGATAATCTACTTATCAAACTATTGTAGCAGTAACTACATAATGTTGACATTTGTGATTTATTGTGTTTTGGTTTGTTGGATTTGTGGGCAAATATCACAAGGACTGCAGTTCTAAAATTTCCTTGGATTGTGCTGGTGCAAACTCAGTCTCTATCACTGTGATGCAATGAGGCATTAAGGTATGAGGGAAAGTGGAGGGAAGATTGTTAGTGTTAGATGCCTGCATTGTCTGGTTAGATGTGTTGATTATCATTATATTGTTATTGATTTCAGTCTTAATACAGAAAGTGAAAGAAGAATAGAAATGAAATTTTGGTTTTCTGAACATTTATTCTCTTAAAGTACCCCGTTCTTTCTTAATTGTGAACTGTAAATTATTGAATGTGAAAATGCAAGTTTTTCACTTTCGGCATTTGACGTTTGCGTTAGAGGTGAAAAACACAATGGCATAGCAAATGTGTTTCTGTTTAGGAAGCCCAAACTCCTAATTGTGAAGTACTGAATATGCTTACCTAAACTGTTCTTATTGATATGTTTGAATTAATTAATCGAGCCTTCTGAAAGGAGGTGATTTTGGCATTTGA